ACCAGTTATCTTCCCTCTCAAAAGACATTTGAATTTAAGAACTGTCTTGGATGAGTTAGAAGGAATTTTATACTCTGTGGCAGGACTAGGAAAGTGAAAACTGGAATATCGGATGTTCAGGATCCTTCCTATCTCGGGAATAAAGCTGCAGGAACCCAGCCCTAGGGCAAAATGCCAGTTGCTGAGCTATCACCTGAAGGTCTTGGGGGAAGTCATATGGTGTTACCTGTGTTGGCTTAGTTACTTTTCTTGTTGCTGAGACAAAATACCCAACACCCAAAGTTAAAGGAGGAAAGGTTTATTTCAGCTCACAGTGTGTAGAGGTTTCAGTCCATAGTTGGCTGGCTCCAACGCAGGGTGGCATGATAGAGGGGCATCGCAGAGGAGAAACAGTTCATGGCTGGCAGAAGACAGCTAAGCAGCAATATAGCTGAGCAGCTTTTTTCTGTCCCTTATATTTCATCCAGGAGGGTAGCACTCACACCCATGGTGAGAGAGACCCTTGATCTCCGCAAAATACACTTAATTCCAGTATCATATATTCTAGATTCAGAAAAGCCCCACCTATGACCACAAGCGGCTCTGGGGACATCTAGATACAAGCCATAACACATGTTAATTCCCACCATTTCTCCCTGGATTTTAGGGTTGTTATGTTCTGATGGTGACCTTCTTTTCAATTTAAGCTCAGTTTGACTGTTTGATCAAAGTGGCTAGAAGCATACTTTATAGCTAGAAGACAGTATATTTTCACTGTCAACTACACATACATTTCTAAATCATCTATTACCTCTAAGATATTTTATTTATAATTCCTAGGGTTGTTATTAATAACTTCCACAAATGACTACTCAAACGTTTTCTCTTGCTTAGTAGGTGACACGAGAGCTTTGTCATTTACCCAGCATTATAGGGAGCTTGCTTGTCCCCACCTCTCCCTGCTGGCATCTGCTGGAGGCCCTGGCTCGTGGACATGGATGGGACACATTCTCAGGACAGGGGTCAGCCAGCCAGAGCAAACTCAGCAGAGCAGGAGAGGGATAGCTCTGCCCTGAGATGTGACCTCTGACACAAAGGCCACTGCTTAAAATAACCTTGTCCTCATGCCCAAGCCCAATAGCAAAGCTTTTTATCTCAATTGCTCTCTGTCACCTGCCTTTCATATTTGACATTGAAATACTCCAGGTGGCTATTCTTGGATGATGCTTATCTAGATTTTATTGCTCTGCTTTCTCTTTATTTCACTAACACAGTTTGACAACTTCATCTTAATCTAGTTCTGGGACATTTTCATCACCTGACTGAGATTCTTTATGCCCCATTAGTTAATCTCCTTTTCCACAATACTCCATGTATGCATTAATTTATAGTCTGTTCTGGAGAGCTGCTTTTCTCAGACATTTTACTTCACGTGGCCATTTTGTCTGGTTTCTTTCACTTGTGTGTCTGTTCAGGTTCACTCATGACGTAAAGTCAGTGGTTAGTGGGTTCCCAGAGCCACAGGCCTGCAATTCCTTCAAGGTTCTAGGACCAGCTGCACTTTAAGTAGTTCCCCTCCCCTTCCCTGCAGCCAGTTCTGGTTCCCATCTCAGTGGCTTTTCCTGGGCTGAGCCACTGTCCGTGAGGCTCTGTCCCTCCTCCAGGGACCTGGCCGCATCCCTCTCTGGAGGGCTTTGCCTGTGACTCCCGCCTCTGTAACCTCCACACTTTGCTCATCATCTGTCCCCTCATCCTGCTGAGGTCTTTGTTCAGTGCTGCTTCCTTGAGACTCTGATCTCCTTGGCTGAGACAGCATTCCTGTCACACACTGCTCACTTGCCCTGGTTTATGTTCCTTCACAGCTCTCAATTCCTGAAACTGTGTTTTCTATTTATTATATTCATAGGCTAGTGGGTAAATGTCTTAGTTTGTTTGGCCTTCTATAAACTGGCAGCTTATACACAAGATAAATTTACTCCTGACAGTTCTGGAGGCTAGGAAGTCTGAGATCAAGCTGCCTGCAGATCAGGTGTGTAGTGAGGGCCAACTTCCTGGTTGAGACACCATACCTCTCTCCCTACACCCTCACATGGCGGAAAGTGGTGAGGGGTCTTTCTGACCTCATACATGAGGGCACCAATCCCATTCACCAATCACTTCCTAAACACTACCACCTCTAATTCTTTCATTCCCACGGGTAGAATTGCAACATACACACTTTAGGGAGCACAAATACTAGCACCACAACAGTTCCCAGGGTTCAGCTGCTAGGGCCACTGCCCAGCCTGACCTCTTCCAGGCTGGGGACACTTGGGCCACTGCCAAATGGAGTAAGGATCACACATGCTCCTTAAGGTAGCATGAGGACTACTAGTCACACCCTCCTGCAGTGCTTAAAACAGTGGCACAAAGTAAACACTCAGCAAGTGAATTTATGACACCCTTCCTTGGGGTGTCACTTTGAGGTGTGCCGGATTTTTCCTCTGCACTTTCAGTCCCTGGAATAGGAATGCATGCAGTCTGGCTAAATAGTCCTCATTCCACTGGCTCTAGGCCACCCTGATAAGCTGACCTTTGCCTCTTAACACCCCCCTTCCCCTTCACAGCTTAATCCATCTTTGAGTCTTTGCCACCCCTTCTAGGAATGAAGTACGTGGTCATCCCTGGGGAATGCTCCAGGGTTGCTCAGAGTGTCTGGAAAATGTGGAGATTGGTGAAAGCCTAATTTTAAATTTTAACTTTTTTACACTAGAAGCAACATTTGTGTATAGCTGTTTGAATTTTTAGGGATATTGAGCATAAATAATTGCAGAGTTGTACAGTATTCTAGGTCTGAACATATTGAGCATAAATATAATTTTTCTCTTACTACGGAAACAAATGCTCTGTTCCATCTTCCGTAAGGCCTTGTTAGATCACATTTGCAGTAGGTACAACTTTCCCCCAAGACGTTAATGACCAACAGAAGACAGAAAGCTGGCAGCAAATGGAGGAGCTGCCTGTGGCCTTGGAAAAGGCCCATTTTGGTCAGCTTTTTTATCCTAGCTTTCCTGTTGCTAGGATAAAATACCTGACACCCACAATTTGAAGAGAGGTTTATTTTGGCTGAGGTTTCAGTCCATGGCTCCAAGGCAGAAAACATGGAGGAAACTGTTCAACTTATGATATACAGGAAGCAGACAACAGGGTGCCAGGGAGCAGATCTAGTCCCCAAGGTCATGCCTCCATGACCCTCCAAACACACCTAGGTGTCTCTCAAGCCACTTAAGATGTCAACAGATTAATCAGGACAGGGCCCGAGTTTTACTTCCACTATTCAAAAGCATACTTATAGTCTGGGAACAGTTTGCCTACTAAAACCTAGAAACAAACATGAGGTTGGAAAAGAGAGCTCATAATCGGAGGCCAATTATATGTTTGGCACTCATGAACACACTTTTTGGTTTATTCCATGTCATCACTAGTTAAAATGATACAGGTGGGATTTGAGCCCAGGCCCAAGTGACTCTCTGAGACAAGACATTCATTACCCGTTAAGCTTCCACTTTCTACTGTTAATTATGAGACCTCAGTAAGAAAGTATTAGATTCTGCGCAAGCTGGAAAATGCACCCCATCTCAGAAAGAGGCTGTTCCTATCTTTCCTGAGCAAATGTACTTTACTGCTTGTGCCCCCCACCCTGGCCATCATGATGGTCAGAGGTTACACTGAAGTCAGCTAGTGTCACATGTCTCTGAGTAGATGGTACAGTCATCAGTCTCAACATATGATTGCTAGCTGATGGCATAGTTTTTTTCCTGCAAGGTTATAGTGAATCAGATATTCAGTGACAGCTGTACTGTGCATAGTACTTAAACATGCAGCAACAGAAATAATGCTAGAAGAGAAAAAACCCTGTGTCCACCTTTCTGTTGTGCATAGTATGTAGTAATACCCGCCAGAAAATTGTGTCTATTTTTTGTTTTGCTTTTGTGGTGCTGGGGATAGCACTTGAGGCCTCGGACTGAGCTACACCCCAGCTCTGATATGTCTAACTTTTGACCACAACTTGAAAAAATAGAAAAAAAGAGAGAATGCTTCAAGAAAAGCACATATATGTATAAGATTTGAACAATAGGGATTAGGTGCAAAATGTAGGCATTATTGGAATAATGAATCTTTTAAGCTATTTCATGTCGAGGTAAGATATTTCATATGAGATGAATGATAATTATTTTCACATCTGATAAAGATAAACTAAAAACTTTCCTTCTCATAAATTAGATCAATACTTCCCAAACTGCTATCTAAAGGGAACACTATTTCAAGATGTTAACAGATGTGCGTTGAAAAAACATTTTGATGGATAAAAATTTGAGGGGTGGTATATCTTCTTACAGATACTTGGGAAGTGGGATAAACCAAAACTGCCCCCACTTAAGTATAACACTTTCTATTTCTTATTTCCATACTGGGGATCAAACTCTGGACCTTGTGCTTGCAAGGCAGGTGGAGGCGCCACTGAGCTAAATCCCCAGCCAACACTTTTTATTTCCATGGAGTAGTCTGTTAGGTAGAAACACTTTTGGTAAATGCCAAAATTTCTGAGTGCAGTGTAAGTGCAATATAATTTCTGAGTGCAATATAAGATAAATGTGCTCATTTGGATATTTTACTCATATGGTCTCTTAGTTTCATGTCTTAGGCACTCTGATTTCCAGGAATACTTAGCAAACAAATCCAAAATCCATACAGTCAAACACATGTACAATCTGAACTTTCCAGGGCACAGATTTTTTAGGAGGCATGCAAACCAAAAGAGCCCTGAATCAAGTCATTCCCTGGCTGTGCAGATCATGGTGATGATAGCAAATCACTTTTAATACCTTTACCCACAAACAAGGGAGCAGGAATGGATGAACTCAACTTCTTTTCAGGATTAACATTCTATAATTAATGGTTTGGAAATTAGCTTGGGTAAAGGTAAAATGTTTTATTCCCAAAGTCAGCTGCCCTTCAAGGTATACCCTCAATCAAAGGAAACAAAAATAAAGTCTCTCATCTCCTGTTCTTAAATAATATTTATTAGTATTGCAATGAAGTCTCTTTCATGAGAAGAGTCTCACATTTATTTAGGATATATAGGTTATGGTTATAGAAGCAATTTCACTGAGTTGTTTTATATATGAGCATACCCAACCACGACCCTTAATTCAGCAATCTAATATTCACAACGTATTTGTTGCCAGTTAGCTATTTATCCACGCATGCCTTCTTTTTTTTTTTTTTGCTTTCTTTTTTAAAACATTGTATGTGCCTGGATAGGGTGGAAAAAGAAATGCCAAGGGCTTGCTAAAAAGAAGACTAAAAAAGATAAAATTCCCATGATGCGGTTCTGTTCAACTGCAGTCTGTGAGTGCAGGACAGCGCTCCCACGGGGACGCAGTATGCCCAGTGGTTTCTTAGAACGTGTGAAAGCCCTTGAGGTTTTCTGCGGCTGTCAGGAGGGAGCAGGACACTCCATTTACGGAATCCAGCTAATGTTCAGGCACCGTGCTATGAATGCAAACATGTCTGAGACTTCTTCTATCACTTTGGCTGTGGGCTTCCCTGCCCCATGGCCTGCCTTGGTGTCCACGTGGATGAGCAAGGGGTTGCTTTGCTTCTGGCTGCGGCCCACCGTGTACTGAAGAGTGGCAATGAACTTCAGAGAATGGAGAGGGACCACGCGGTCATCGTGGTCAGCGGTGAGGAGGAGCATGGACGGGTACTGCACGCCATCGGCCTCTGGTAACTTCACGTTATGCAGTGGGGAATATCTGCGAGGCAAAGGCACTTTGGTGAGGCTGGACGTCAAACCAGAAATGTTCAGTGGGACAATAGGCACTGTCATGGCACAGGATCCTATGTGATTCATCAGCCTAACCTCACTAGTAAGGAGAACAGTAGCTCATTGGTCCATGAGTGACGGTAGCAGCCTATGCTTGTACCATCATTTAGGCCACGACTGGCTTCTGGGAAGCTGGGTCATTTATTTGGCTCCAATTTTGGAAGGCTACATAGGCAAGAAACACAAGGCTACTGAACTAATGACAAGTATGTGCATTTTTTACTGCTGTCTTTAAACCACTGAATGTGGTCATTTACTTATCTTCTGTTGAACAGATGGAAACCCAGTGTGTACTGTACCTTTCTGCCACCTCAATATCTAAAAGTCTTTATTTCAAGCTTTGCAACCAAGAAGAGCATGTGTCATTCCCGGGCCTGTAATGTGGGATGAATGGATGGTTCTCACAGTCCGGCCAATGAACAAAAATGTTAGTGGAGAAGCCACCAATGAAGCTAGCAAAATGAGCTTGAATTTAAAAAAAAAAACAAAAACCAACAGGCATCATTGACTTAAATAGTTAAGTGACAGATCTCTTTTCTCTACATTTTATCCAATGTGAGGGCCATGTTTTCTAAAAAGTTGGGCTGGGGATTTGGATCAGTGTGTGAGGCAGTGTGCTTGCCTCACAAGCACAAGGGCCCAAGTTCAATCCCCGGTACACACACAAAAAAAAAAGAATAAAAGGAAGACTCTGCTAGGCCAGGGATTTAGCTCAGTGGTTCTGCTGCCTGCCTTGCAAGCCGAAGGTCCAGAGTTCAAAATCCCTAGTACCAAAATAAATAAATAGTGAAAACCATATACATTTTGCTCAGTTCACCAAGGCAAAGCTAAAATATTCTGGGGCTTGTTTTCCCAAAACAGAAGACGGGGGCATAGTTGGAACTGTTTTGGTATAAAGGTTCTCTGGGGAAACGTGGAAAAAAATTATTAAAATGACTCCCCCTTGGAGATTCTTGGAGACTCACAGGCAATGTTAACGATGTGTTCTGGGAAAGTACAATCTGTTAGGTGTTCTGTATTCCAGCCATTCCTAGCTTGGAAGTCCCAATCTTCTGGGAGGAAGCACTTTTTAATATTCTGGTTGGGGATCCAGGGGCCATACACAGGCGCTCCCAGGACAGCTCTAAGCTTGTTTACAAGCAGCAGGTCAAAGGAAAATACAGCCTGTGAGAGCAAGATTAGAAAATTTCATCTAGTATTATGTTCTCTTCACTATACAATTACCTCAAAAATCCCAACTGAGTTTAACTAGGACTTCATCCCCTGGGGAATATTTCTTTTCTAAGTTAACTTCACACAGCGGCGGCGAATCTATGGCACACATGCAGCAGTGAGCTGTTTGGTATCATCAAAAGCTCTCAAAGGTTTGCCATCACTGAACTGCAGCACCCTGGGTATACAGCTGTACCAGCGTGTGATAGGAGGCCATTTAATCACTTAGAAGGGACAGCTCTAGAGTGAACTTTTATACCCCTCAGAAGATAATTTAAAAATTCAGTCATTTTAACAGTATTTCTAACACAACTGGCCATAAAAGGCAAAATTTTAAAACTCGACAAAGTACTTTTATCAAAATATATTGTTTTTTGAGAAGACTGGGATGGAGACAGGCTTCCTGTGCCAGTCTGGGGTCGTTCCTAAATACTGAAGACAAATATTCCGAAAACTCTTACATGCAGGAAGAGTAAAAAGGGAATTTTAATGCATGTCATTTGCTCACTGTTAGCACCAAAGTGGTTAAGAGGGACATGAACAAAGGAAGTTCTATTTAAATAATGCAGTTTAAATTGTCCTAGCATATATATATTTTTTTTTTTTTGTACCAGGGATCGAATTCTGGACCTTGTGCTTGTTAGGCAGGTGGCGGAACCACTGAGCTAAATCCCCAGCCCTAGTATATATTTTTAATTTCCTTATTTGTTGATTTATAAAATGAAATATATAAAGTATAACACATTTTTTTGCATTAGTTTCTGATTACTACAATAACAAATTTAGCAGCTTAAAACAACAGACATCTCTAAGTCAGTATTCTCATTTGGCCCACTTGGGTTCTCTACTCTGGGTCTGTCAAGGCTAAAACTGGGGTGCTGGATAGCTGGGTGCTTATAGGGAAACTCCAGAAAAAAAATACTTCGACACCCAGGTTGTTGACAGTGTCATGCAGCTTACAGGACAGAGGTCTCCTTTTCTGATGGGTGTGGATCAGGAGTTGTGTGCCCACTCCATATGCAAAGCCTGTTCGCAGCATCACCTGGGTTAGTGTTTGCCTAGGAAACCAAGCACAAGGAAGCCTAAAGAGCCATCTTTATAATTCCGGCTATCATGCCTTTGTGTTTTGCAACAAAATCAAAACAAGACAGGGGGGCGAGGATTTAGCTCAGGGGTTCCACCACCTGCTTCGCAAGCACAAGGTCCAAGTTCAATCCCTGGTACAAAACAAAACAAAACAAAAAAACGAGACAGGAAGGTCTTCCCATCTTTTCTTTTGTGGTAAATTATATGCAAATAAAAGACACTGAAGGAGGGAAACCATCAAAGACTACTCCTGCTAGGTTCAATACTATGGTATCGAGTTATTAACAGCATATATGTGTCAATATGAATCAGTACGTACTTGACAAGCCATTCAAAGTGTTGTTTGCTGTCGGAGCACCCATAATCAGTGGTCCAGGCATGACCGATAGTGTATTTATGGAATTTGAGCATGTCCATAACTCCAACTTGGGCAATAACACAACCAAAGAGGTCAGGACGCTGATTTGCACAAGTGGCTGAAAACATGGATAGAAAAAGGAGACAGCCTGTTATTAAACATCTAAATAAACACAATACGACATACGCTTTCTGAGCCCTGTTTGTCTTTACCCTTAGCACACAGGAAAAACCACCACATCCACATCCCAGTCTTCCACTATGTCCCAAAGGTGAGGAGGTGGGAATTTTTAGCAGTAGAGCTTTACTCTCTAAAGTGACTCTCACCAAGGGAGGGTTACTTCAAATACTCGAGGACCTTCTGGAGAATATGCTTTACAGATGATGGGAGACTTGTTCAGGATCTCAGAATAAACTGGAGGCAAAATACATTCTGAAATGCGATTCATTTTTAACCAATATTGTCATATCCTATTGTCCCGTTTTTCATATACTATTTTTTGTAGACTTAAACCTTCTTGGTCATTGAACAGACATTTACTGAATATTTGCCATGTGCCCAGCAGTAGGCCTGGGCATGTATCAGTGAGTAAAACAACTCAGTGGGGAAGAGGTAGGAGGTACCAGGCCATTGCACAAAGCATAGTGGAGGGGAATCTAATGTCATGCAAAGGATCAGGAGGCTTTGGAAGTGGCGCCAAAGCGGGCACAGATAGGACTTAGCCAAAGGATCTGGATTTCTCCTGCTTCTCTCACAGCCCCACAGTCTCACTGCTATTTTCAGTAGACTGAGATTTTTTTTTCCTGTTTTTGGTACCGGGGATCAAACTCTGGTCCTTGCACTTGCAAGGCAGAGACTGGAACCATTGAGCTAAATCCCCTGCCCCTCACTGCTATTTTCATTTCAACAGTTATGAATATTGACTCCTGGCTTTACTCTTGGAAATCCTGATTTTCTCATTTGAGGATGAGAGGGTTAGGAATCCAGACTTCTAAAATAAGCACCCCAGCATCCTGAGCGGGGAGCCCCATCTCTGGGCTCCTTAAAGGACTTGGTTAATCAACAGGCATAAACCTGGGCTGGGGCTGTAGCTCAGCAGTACATGTCTAGCATGTGTGAGGCTCCGGGTTCAAACTACTGTGTTGAAACCAAACCACAAACAAACAATCCCAAACTGGCATAAACCAATTCGTGAATATAAAACTCCAAAAACATAAAGGAATTACTGAGTGAATCATAATCATAATTCTCCCATTACTGAAATCAGATGGCATCTGCAATGTCCTTTCCCTTTAAATCTTGGATTTCCTGCTTCAGGCACCTCATAAAATCCTAGTGCAAATTCAGTGGATTCAATTTCAAAATACATCCAGAGTCTGACCTCATCTGCTACTTCCAGTGCTACATGTAAGGCCCCTGTGGTCGCCTGACTGCTCTTCTCTTCTGCCTTTCCCAAGGCTTCTGGATGCACACAGTAGAACAAGACCTGTGGTCAAGGTATGAGATCCTACATGGTCTGCCCCGAGACTCCCTTGCTCACTGGCCCACCAAGGATGTGCGCCTCTTCCTGGCTCTTACCTGAACAGCCTGCCCAAGCCTCAGAGCCTTGGCTGTCTGCCTTCTCCATCCAGCCAGCACGAATGCTCCCCATAGGCAGCGATGTCTGTTTCATTTAGAGACCCATCTGGGAAAATGCCTGGTACTTTCTGGGTGTTCCATTATTTGTTGAATTAGGACCAAGTTTGTTATTTGATATTTAAGGATTTCACCAGTACCTTTTCTAAGTTAATTTTACTTTCTGAGACAAGATTTTGCTATGTAGCTCAGGTTGACCTCAAACTTGTGATCCTCCTACCTCAGCCTCCAGAGTGCTGAGATTATAGGCCTGTAGCATCCTTTTCCAAACTAAAGCAAATTATTTTAGAAATCTATATATTTACCTCTAGAGGAATTTTTTTCTTTTGGCGGTGATAGGGATTGAACTCAGGACCTCAGGCATGCTTGGCAACACTATCACAGGGCTACATTCCTACCCTGAAATGTTTTTTTTAAAGACCATATATTCTGTTGGAGAAAAAGTCTAACAGTAGTTCAGGTTTTGATGTGATTCAGCATATTTCAAAGACAATGAATATAAATGCTCTGGACTGTGACACTGGAAATTGCTATATGTGTCTTATACAAAGCCTCATGTACTCTTAGGGGGCTTTCTGGAGCTTGCTGGATCTCTAGGGTGTGTGCTACTCAATGTGATCAGTGACTGGAATTAGTACAGTTCTGGGTGTGACTGAATGGATGCACTGAAGACAGAAGCCCCACCCTGGGTGTGGGTGGCACCACCCAAAAGGCTGGCAGCCTGGATGGGGTAGAAGGGAACGGCAGGCTTGCTGCTATTGCTTTCTGCTCTGCCGTGGACTTTCTCCTCTGTGATGCCCCTTTGCCATGACACTTGGAGCCTTTGCCATGGTGGACTGAAACCTCTATGGACTGTGAGCCAAAATAAATTTTTCCTCCTCTAACTTGGAGGTGTCAGGTATTTTGTCTCGGCAATGAGAAAAGTAACTAAGACATGACCTACTACTATTGAGTATTTCATTGGTATTAACCATGAGCTTATCTCTATGTGTACCTCATTTTCCTTCTTGAATTCTGTCACGGCATCCTCAGCATTTAGCATCATACAGCATAGGAATCCAACAAGTGCACTGTGAAGATCATACCTTACAAGTTCTGAATAACAGTCGAGGGGCTGTCAGGCTCAACCTTACAAACCCGTGGACCAGGTCTGTTGGTGCAGAAGAGCTCAAAGCAGGGTGCGGAACTCATGAGTAAATTTAGTCTAATGTGGACTCTGCCCATCTTTTTGTATGTCACTTATTAGGTGCTCAAATACAAATGGATTTTGTCTGCCCCACTCCCCTAGGCAAAGGTCTTGCTAGGTTCCCAGGCTGGTTTTGAACCTGAGCTCCTGGAGCAGATGGCCTTGGAGGTGTGTGCCACCACACCTCTGCCTGGGTTTTGCTTTGCTCCCATCCGTAAATCGAAGATGTCTCTGGACAGTACCTGAAATCCCTCCCAGGTGAACTATTAAGTACAATGAATAAAATCCAGTTCTTACCCACTAGGAGGCCGCCATTTGATCCTCCATTAATAGTCAACCTCTTGGGAGACGTGTAACCTTCCCTGATCAGATATTCGGCAGCACACTGGAAGTCATCAAAGCAGTTCTGTTTGTTTGCCAAGATACCACCTACAGTATGCCAAAGCGAAAGATGGTTAATTAACAGAAGGCAAACACACACAAAAAATAAAGTGACTCTAAAGAATTCAAATGACATTAGGGCACAGTTTCAACTACTGATCAACTTAGACAATGATTACAGTACTGAAGCATTTTTAAAGAAATTCCTCAGTTTAAATTTTGTGTACTGTGGAAATCTATCACCAGTACCACAAATGCTAACCTTTGTGGTAAATTACTTTGTTAAAAATCTCTAGAATTTAAAAGCCAAGATCCCTCAAGAGAACAAATGTTTTTTTTTTTTTTAATGTGGGAAAATATGATATCCAAAAAAGTCATTTTAAAGAAGCTGAATGGCCTTCCCCATCCAAGTTCCATCCAGCTCTCACCGCCAGGGCTGGGCTTGGGGCTGCACGTGCTCCAGGAGGACAGGACTTGCCCCTCCTCTCTGCAGGAGTCTGAAAATGGGTAATGATCTGGTGTTGCTCACAGTAACTAATTTGAAGAAGTACAAATTGGGAAGTGTGGAAGTGCTACAGCAGAGTACATTAGGGTTTTTTGATTCTTAAATACAAAAATCTCAAGTGTCTCCCCAGGGAAATCTGAGATTTATCCTCTGTAAGTCACTGCCATGTTTTAAACCAGAGAAGTTACTTAAAGAGAAACATTTACAGGGTCACAGAATATCGGAAAGTAAAGACCAAATGCCACAGGCATGTCCTCAAAGCAACAGATGTCTGAAATAACTGCCTCTAGGATGAACAGAAAGCAGACACAGATCTAATTAGATATTGGAGATTAACCACTTCTGCAGAAATTCAATTAAAGATGAAGCAGTGCTACTGAAGGAATTTTTTTCATATCAAACCAAATGTTATTAAGATTTTAATACGAAATTATCGGTGAATTAGAACAGCTAGGATTACTTAGTTTCCAGGAATAACATCATTTAGGGTATGTGACCATATTTTTAAGAGTATTAAATTTTAAACTGATGAATAGAATGGAATTTAGATTTATCAATGTACTTATACGAGGCTATAAATGGAAAAGGCCTATTTTTTGGTTCTTTCACTGCTGAACTTGTGAGAAAGTTTATGAATCCATCTGCTTTTAGCCTCTGTCAGCTCCGACCTGTCTACTCCCAAGGCTTTGAACAATAAGCTGGTTCTAATTAATAAAAAGGTGAGAAAAGGAGCCGAGGAGGACAAAGTTATCCTCCCTGTCAGAGCCTGCGGGAGCCCGATGGAGGAGAATCCAGTTCTTTCGGGAGAAGGCCACAGGAACAGGGGCTATGCATGGGGGTGTGTGTTGGAGAACATAACTGAATGCCGTGTAAGCAGCAAATCAGGGTACAGACAGCACATGAATTTGGGATGCAAACAAACATATGGTATGAAGAAATTTTGTACTTTTCCTCCTTTTATCGGTCCTCCTTTTATCCCAGTGTCATAGTCTGATGATGATTATTTTTTAATCAGGTCAAAATGATACCATGAATTCCATGTAGCTTCAACTATGATGAAAATTCAGTCTCTGGGGAGGACACTGAGCAATTTACTCAGCCAAGCCAGGCAGAAGCCATGTGTTCATTAGGAGCTCACATTCTTTCTAAACTGGTTCGGTAGTTTTGTGTTTGACGTCAGCTCCTTGGGCACATGCTGGTCACCCAGGGCCAGGCCTGGGCCTTTCCGACCTCTTGGTATCTAGGTACCTACTGAGTGCCTTATGAAAGGCCTCTTTCCAGGTACACCTTCATCTTCACTAATTTGATGTAATGTGAAAAACCAGAGCTGTAGAACAAGGGGAGATACAAGTAGGAAGGGTGTTCTCTGCTGTTCCCAGCACGGGAGGAACCTCTCTCACATGCCAGTGGCCACCTTTATCCCAGAGGTGTTATAAATGGCAGCTAATGGAGAGCAGGGGAACCAGGAGAGTTGGGGGTTGGAGGAAGTAGAAGAGCTATCCCATAACCCCTCCCCAGAGACAAAGGACCAAGGCAAGCGAAGAATACCCTTATCAGACCATTATTTGGTCTATGGATTCAACTCTAGCTACATAAAAGCCTGGTCAAGGGCAAGGTTCTACATACAAAGAAATGGAAGAGGCAGGACTTTAAAAATCGTTTTATAAAAACTGTGACCCTGTGGAGTGTGAAGCTGACTATTACTCAACCAGAATATGTGCTTGGGGGGGCAGAGGAAATTCTACATACAAAGAAATGGAAGAGGCAGGACTTTAAAAATCATTTTATAAAAACTGACCCTGTGGAGTGTGAAGCTGACTATTACTCAACCAGAATATGTGCTTGGGGGGGCAGAGGATGGAGACTGAATAAAACCACAAAAGACAAATGACTGCATTCTTGTCTACCACATGACAATCCCAGAAGCAATGGTGGGAGGATAGGATTTCTCAGTAATACAGGGAACAAGGAGCCGCCCACAAAAGAAACAGGGAAGTTGTGTGACTGCTCTCTCAGGAGATGACTTGCTTTGAAGTACGTTTCAAGACAGCTGAATATAATGCTTAAACCATGAAAAGAAGGCTACCAGGAAATACCAAGATCACTTCCAAACCTGATAACTAAAAATGCATTTCATGTATTGCTAAAAATCTCAAGCCGAGATTATGGTCTTAGGGGAATGATGGTTCACTATCATAGACTACAAAGAAAAATAAGAAAAGCTGAATTGGTTCTAAAGGAGGCATGCTGCCTGTGATGTGTTGGAAACATCCTTATTTTCCCTCTGTCTAGCCAAAATGCCTTTTTTGCTCCCGACCCCGCAGCTCATTTAAACAGAAGGATCAGCACAACCTTAGCTTTACTTATGCCAGGCTTGAATTTCTGTACTGAAAATACCCTACCTTTATGCCACGTCTCTCCGTATTCACCGCCACCTCTGATGTTGGCCACTGCAAGGACGCCACCCATGTGTCTCACAAAAATGAGCCTGGACACGCTGAGAAACAGTGGAGACAATTAACCTTCCAGTGATGCCTGTCACTAAGGACCACACGCTCTCCCTCCGCTATCAGACAAAGCAACTATATCCCTGAGAACACTCCAGGAGAAGCAGCCCAGTAGTTTTTATTACTTGACACAGGGTATCTTTGAAATAACTGTTCTAGGCAAACAAAACAGCCAGCCCAGACAAAATGGTGCCGAGCTCACAGTGCACCTGACAGTGGCCCCTGCTCCCATTTTTGGGGTGAGTCTCCCCAGAGTATTCAAATTGGCAAAAAGCTGTTTCTGGAACTTACTTAATTATTTATTGGTACCGGGGATTGAACTCAAGACCTTGTGCTTGCGAGGCAGATGGCCAAACCACTGAGCTAAACCTCCGGCCCTGGAACATGGATTTTAAATGTGTTTTCCAGTTCTAAAGAAAATTTTTAGATGTTAAAGTGACAATACAGGGTGCGAGGGGGATACAGGAGAACAAGCACAGATTAGAAGATGAGCATGCTCAGGGCCTCAGTACTTCCTGAAAGTTGAAGAAAGCACAGCACAAAGCTTCTTGAAAGCACAAAGCTTCTTGAAAAAAGTTCTCCTGCCTTTAAATTGTGGCCTTAAGAGTGCTGAGTGGTATTTTCTATTTGCTGTAACAATTAACTTCGCTTTGAGGACCATTTCTGAGAATTTTTAGTAATGAGGGAAATGGAGGGATCCTGTAAACCTGAGGCCTTGGATCAGTGATGGGGAACTTTTTCAAGACCAGTGCCCAAACTGCAACCCCAAACCCACTTATTTATCTGAAAGTACCGACAATGGAATTAAACCTGAATACTGAGGTTTTAGTTTAGAAAAACAAAAAACTCATTCATTCGCATCTTTTGTCTTAAAAGCTTAATAAGTTCTCATTGCATAAATGAACCAAGCTCAGACGTTTGAGCTACACTGGTGCAGTAGAACTGGTGTGGTCTTGACCCGTCAGGAGCCAGGGAATGGGGCTCAGGGTGCAAGGCCCTCCTTCTTCATGGGCTGACACACGTCTGTTGCCTTTCACTCAAGCGTCACTCCGACTTGAAACTGAAGGCTGTCACTTTACCACTTTGAGTGGTAAAGAGTGGCAAACAGTGACGTGTTTTATCCTTGTGGGATGAGGCTAATTTAATGAACCAAAACTGACTGTCTTGCATTTTTAGGTTAATAATCTCAGACTAAATATGACATGTGATTTTACCACCTGGATGATGGACTAAGAGATAACAAGTCTCACTGCCTGAGAAGCCCGTCTGTTACAGACCATGCCTGTAATGGTGGCTGGGTTATGGCGCTATGAGAGTAGAATGTGTCGTCATTTGAAGATGCCCTACAAATCTGCATCATGAAATACTGCTCTATATCATGATTTTACACAAAAACCTCCACCAGCTCCAAACTCTTTAGCGAGATGAGAGTTTCATCCTTCCGTAAATCTAAAATAATGAGCTACTATAGTTACTATAGTGTTCAAAGCAAAGTAACAACTTTCTTAGTCAACTCTTGAGACATCTAGTTGAGTCTTGAATTTGTGGTGCCTACTTGGTAGTCACTAGTCCACGACTTTCTTCCCAAATAGAAAGGACCCCGAATGAGTCTGTGGATCAAATTTCATAAGAACCTCTATTTAGAAGTTGGCTTAAAGCTGACTGACTTTCTGGTAGGAAACTCCTTGCTTTTATGAAAAAATGCAATGAAAATTCCATTTTATGCCAGGAATTACAATCAAGTTTGGAAAGAATGATTCTCTATGTGTATATGCGTGTATACACACACACACACACACACACACACACACACACAATAGCAATGTATAAATGTAGTTTCTTCTCCCCACAAGTTATATAGGAAATAATCACAGAAACAATGGATAAACCAAATTTAAAATCAGTGAAGTAATAGAGGCTTCAGAAAATATATTTATGGTTGAATGATAAAAGTTTTATAAAAAAAAAATCTATGCTGGTGAAAAATAGTATCATTAGTTAAAAAATTATTCCCTCTGAAAAAAATTCTGAGGGTAGTGGGGTAGTCGCAAATGATAAATACTGAAGATAGGAGCTTTCTTTAAAATCTCAACTGATACTAATCTCTTATAGCCATGCATCCATAGCTTCAACATCTAGTTCTCCACTGATACTGCTGAGAAAAAAAACAAAACAAACAAGACTGAGGTAGTTATGACATAATCCCACCCTTCTACAAAAATACCAAGCCGAAAATACATAGTTCAGTGTACTAGAAAAACATGATTTAGTAGACCAGAAGTAGACCAGACTATTGGATTTTTGCCACACAGTGGAAGGGAACCAAATGCCAAGTTCCAAGAGTGTTACATGCTTACCTGTAGTTGGGGGTAATGGATATGTTGAAGCCACCATAGCCATATAAGAAAGCAGGATGTGAGCCGTCCAATTTTATGCCCTTTTTATGGACAATGAACATAGGAATCTTTGTGCCATCCTTGCTAGGGTAGAAAATCTAGAACAAAAGAAAGCATGATACTTAGACTTTGCATTATTTAGTCAATACCTGCATGCTTTTAAATGGCAAAAGTCAACACATATTAAGTCCTCTCTTCAGCATGGGCAGTAGCAAAGTTAAAATCCAGTACCACTTAGAAAAGGGCTACGTGATGATGCCACACCCCTTCGTTTTATGAAGATGGTGCAGAACAGTGAAAAGAGCATGGGTCTGAACACGGAAGACGATTTGAATTCTTAGTGCACAACTATTTAGCGAGGTGCCCCTGGGCAAGTCGTTTGTCCTCTTTCAGGCTCAGTTTTTTCATCAGAATGCTGCCCTCACTCCCATGTCTCAGGGCCTTCCTGGGACTCCCAAGACAAGTCGGACTTGGCCATCCTGCCAAACTCCATACAGGGAGACTTCCTGCCTTAAAAACACACTTCGCTCCATTAAAAATATTTTAGCACACTGGCTAATTTGTTTTATTTATACTACTAGTTTTGCTTACTTCATTGAACATTTTATGCTGTTATCTGTTTGTAAGAATCTTTTTTGTTTCCCAGTAACTACTTGGAAGATAATGATGCACAGTGTATCCTGTTATTATTTTGTTACGAAATTTTATTTTCTTCATAAAAAACACATTTTACATTCAACTTCCCTTCTAAAAGCTAAGATATTCAATGCATCTTCGGTCTTTTATGTTCAACTGTTGCACAATGTTAGCGCCAACAAAACAGATTAGCTTAGAGCCCTGATGAGGCGGGACAGTGAGATTCTATTATTCTTTGTTAAACAAAGGTATTTTCTCCATTATTGATAATTAAGGCTTACCAAAGCTTTCTGAATCTGGGCCACCTCCAGTAAGTTCAGTCAACATTTCCTTATTCATTACTTTTTGGATAAAAGATTAAGAGAAAAAGGATAAGGAAGGGAACATTAAATGCCATTCAAGCGATAAGCCATAGAGCAAATGATAAGCCACAAGAAGCTGATAATGGCTTCTTCCAGACAGAAAGGCTGGAAATAGCTTTCTCTTTGGGCAAACATGGTGTCTTTACTGAGCTGACGGTGGAAAAATGCCCGGGCTCAGAAACATTTTGTGACAGTCAAGGGCCCAGTGACCTGGGGCCGTGCTGTATCCAAAGCTTCTGGTGGCAGCAGTTCTGTTGTCCTTGGAAATAAACAATAGGGTGGGCAGGAGAGGTGATGTGGAGTTAGAGGAGGGCATTCTGGACTGAGGGAAATGCCTGCAAGGCTGCTTGTTTTTTGAAACTTGTGAAGAAAATACAAAAAGCATTCGTTTTTTTACTTTGGAGAGAAATATTGGGAGATAGAGTAAATTTGGCAGTTTAGAAACCATGAAGAATATGCAGCAGAGTTCAAAATTATCAGATGGGACAGTTTTATTTAAAGATAGTTAGTGCCAGTTGGCAGCCACTAATAGATTGTCACTGTGTGGGTGGGCACAAGCAGAGGATCCGGTTGGAAGTGAGCTGAGACACAGGGCCTTCAGATCTGAGCTGGGAAGAATTTACAGCACTTTCTAAACCTCAGAGGCAAGAGTATCATCAAAAAGGCCAAAGAGAAGTGATCTCAGATCACCACCTCAACGGCATCATCTGCTCCAGCGTTCCCTCCAGGAACCTAACTCCACCTAGTCACAAGTCCCTGCTTGTTTCGCCTCACCAGGCTGACTGCTCCTCACACTCCTGCTCTCAACCAGCCAGCTGGATCAGGCCCTTCTGGCACCCAGGGACTGACTCCCAGCCCCTCCATGTGTCCTTAAAGTGCTGTCTCTGTCTGCTTCCTGACGCTTCAACTCCCCTGATACAACTTTTCCTGCTACCGCCTGCCACATTTCCACCACTCTGCCACCTGGCTCAGACCAAGGCATCCTTTCAGCGTACCATCGAAAGTGCCAAGTCCTTCATATACCCTTAGGTGTAGAAACATATCCATGTTTTAAGTCATTCTGGTTCTGATGCTAAAATAGCAATATTGGGAACTATCTAACAGTGAAAGGGCATTGTAAAGATAATTTGATTGTGGGCAAGAATATGCCTCTTTAAAAAGGTTACTTTACACACACACAGAATATTATACAACCATATATATATATATAAAACCTACATATGTGTACATTTTATTAAACATCTCTAGGTGTACTGCAAGCATACATAGCAGTATTCTATGCCATTCCTGTTTATAGAATGGCAATTGATATTAAACCTAACCCTGACTCTTCATAAACAAGGCAAATAGAACTGAGTCTTCTCATAACTATGGAAGGAATTCCATGTGGGCATTTTGGAAGCAGTCATTAGAAACAGCCCACACACTTGCAGCATGCACTTCCTAAGCGAAACTTGTTTCAAACTTGTTTCCTGTTGAAGCCACTTTCCTAGTTTTGGAGGGGAAGCTCACAAACTCCTTGCTTCCATTTGCTTCCCAAACCTCACCGAAAAGCTCTCCATCAGTCTACACCAGTGCTTGGAACCGTATTGGCTGGACCTACGCACTTATAAAGAACCTGCTAAAAGTAGTTCCCTAGACTTCCTCTCCAGAGATGCTGGGGATCCCACCGGTGGAGCCCCCAAACCTGCAGATTTAGCTCATCTCCTGATGCTCTATGGCAGATGGACCTGAGCGCAAAGCACGAGTCACACATTTGCTTTTATCATTCCCTGAACCAGGTACTTCCTCCCCCACAATCCTTGAAAACTTCAATATGGGACTCTATACATTTTTTTTCCCAGTTCTGTGATTTTCCTTAGTGACAATGAAACTGATGACCTGTCAAGCACCTTACAGATGCTAACCTGTGGTTTATTTAAATATTTGCTGTGTCTTACTATGTGCCAGGCACCATGGAGACACTGAGATAAACAAGAATGGATAAAGAAAATGTGATAATTATACCCAATGGAGTACTATTCTGCTGTAAAGGATAACTTGAGTCATGTGCAAGAAAATGGTTGCACCCAAGACCATAATGTTAAGTGAAGTAAATCAGACACACGAGCTTAAATATCGCATGGTTTCTCTTACATGAGAAACACAAAATATAAACAAAGAGCAAAATAAAGGATGGATAATAGGAAACAGAGACAGATCTTCTGCAGACGGAAGGGGACCAAGAGACGGAGGGGAGGAGGAAGAGGAGGGGAAGGGGATTAGGATGTTTTGTGTCCATGTACCAGTTACATTTTCTCTTGCTGTCCCTTTCCCTCAGGCTGCCTTACCTTGTCTTTCTTTCCTGTGTATTTCCTAGACATCTTCCTCATCCCCTCCTCAATCCAAATCAGTTCTATAGTAGCCGTTTCCAGTATTTTCCACTTTCTTCCATTCCTAACAGCACTCACTCATCTGCCCTCTCTTTCCTGTCTACTTGACCTATTTTCTCACTCGGAATTCTCAAACCTTCTTCCAACCTCGCTCAACCTCTGCGATCCCACAGAAAGAAGGGTCACTCATCTGTCCTGACCTCCACTACTCTCTTGAGGGTTACGAGTGAGCGCTGTAGCCTTTCCATCGTCTCCACCTCTACTCAGGGGTATACCCTTCCCAATTTGTTCATAAGCCTATAGAGACATGCCTATCCATAAATATTCACAAGCACATAGGTTATTTATAGAGCAGCAAATAGAATCAGGAAAATACTGGGCTATGACTTATTCCCCATCATTTTGTAAGACAGCATGGTGTTCAGGTTTAGATACCCAGATTCACCTTGTGAAAAAAGTGGTGGCCTAGTATTTCATAGTATGGTTGTGTGCACATTTCTCATTTGTTCACTGGTGTACAAAAATTACATCACTCATATATGTATATATGGAAGCCATTCATGCTTCATGAGTAGACAGTTGCCAAAGCTTAAATCCGTGCATTCTTTCTCATTGGTGGATAGATATTGTTACAAGACTTAGGTTCAAATTAAGAAGTAAAAATACTTCCTTTTTCTCGTACTCAGTGAGAGAGCTGCCTATATACCTATTCATCTTTTTAAATTAAAAAAATTTAAGCAGACATGAAACTGTATTTAAGGGGTACAGTACACAAAGTGCAGTGATCAGGTCACGGCAATCAGTGTATCCAGCAGCTGAAACATTTCTCATTTGTTTGTGTTTATCCTTTTGGCGCATCTACCATGGGCACTGCCCTATAAAGTGATGCTGAAGCTTTTATAGGAACTTCACGGACCAGAGAACAAAGTGGTCACATAGCGTCTGACAAGTGCCCATGTGAGTGGTGGAAAATGTCTGTCATCCAAAGCTAAGGCATCATGGGAAGCTGATGGGCCTTGTTTTCTGTCTTCCTATCGGGGCAGAGCAAATGGCACAAGGGACATATCCAGTTCATAAAGGAGCCTGTGACCTGGAGTACCCTTTCACTTTAACACAGACTGGAAGGGGCCACCAAAGAATCCCTAGTGGGCAAATGGGAAGCACTGTAGATCTCACGAGAAGGATGGTCTTGGAGGACACTGACCATGAAGCCTTCATCAGGGATGTGGCAAGTAAGAAACACCATGACAGTGACTCAAAACCACAGTCAATTCTAAACATCAGCGAGCCAGCCAAAGCTTGACCAAAGCACACACTGAATTAAGAAAGCTACTCTGCCTTGATTTCATCTGTTTCCCTTTGAAAATTCTTTTGGCATCTTTGTTGGCCAAAGGCCCCTACTGTTGTGAAGATGCAAGAGACTGAAAAGGTGGTGACTCCTTTGAGAAGAAAAGGCCACTGGGGAGGACACCCAGGCTACAGAGACCCCAGCTGCTCTAACAAATGGCCCTACTACACCTAGCTGGAGTGACAGAGAGCAGCTAAATGTCTCCTATGCCTAACCGGTCCACTTAGACTTTGGGCCAAGAGCAGTTAAATTACTCAACTGCTTAAGCTGGCTCACAAGTACAGAGCAGAGACCATTCAACGGTGCTGAAAGGCAAGCTGCTGGCAATGGCAATGTCCATACCAAGAGGCCACCTGTCCTTTCAGAAGGGGCTAAGACTG